CGGCAGGGGACGAGGGGTTGGTTTAGTGCCTGACGGTAGAAGATCCTTATCATCGGTGGTTGCTGTAGGGAGAGGCAAAGGGTTGATGGGGGACAAGGAGGCATGTCGAAAGGTATTGGGAGGAATGATTATTGGCGCCAGGGCCAACCCCAACCCTTTAAACACCCCTGGGATCAGACTCGACAGGAAGGGGCCAATCGCCAAGGTTTTTTTTTCGATTTCGGAATAACACCAACAATTCCCGAAGACATGGGAGGAGCCCGAGGATACATGGTATAAGAGGAATCGGGTTCCAAGATTCGAAAAGATAGAGTTCCCAACGTTTGACGGGAAAAATGACCCAATATTATGGCTACAACACTATGAAAACTTTTCGAAGAACAACAAACCCCGTCGGGGGAAGGGGTTCGACAAGCCGCCTTTTCCTTACAAGGAAAGGCAAGTGGTTGGTACCACAACCTAGAAGAATGAAGGAACGGTTGATCAGACAAAGATAGGAGCAGTACGAGAGTGGTCGAAACCTCACAATGTTCGAACATTAAGAGGATTTCTTGGTCTTGTGGGGTATTACCGAAAATTTATAGAAAAAACTATTGAGTCCTAGCAGCCCCATTAACAAGAATGCTTCGCAAGAACAATTTTGTTTGGAATGATGAGTCATAAACAACCTTTTCTTTGTTAAAAAAACGCCTCGTCTGATTCACCATCATAAGTACCGGAATTGGAGCAGTCTAGCATTACCGGATTTCTCTAAACCCTTTTTCAATTAATGAGACGCGTCCGGTACTGGAATTGGAGCAGTCTTATAACATGATAATCGTCCAGTAATGTTTTTCACCCTTAAGCTTGTAGATCGCCATCATAAGTTGCTCGCCTATGAGAGAGTTAATTGGTCTCGCTAAAGTTGTCGCTCATTGGCGACCGTATGTATGGATCATCACTTTTTAATAAAAACAAACCATTATAGTGTGAAATACTTGTTGTAACAAAGATTAACTACTTCAAGGTAGTTGAAGCCTCATGAGATGAATTGTCTTACTCATGATCTATAGTTAGGGGGGTTCACCCTCGAGATTTGGCGGCTCTACTTGTATGGGGTCTGGTGTACCATTTACACGGACCATAAGAGTTTAAGATATTTGAGGGATCAGCCGAATCTAAATATGAGGCAACGCATGTGGTTGGATGTGTCAAAGGATTATGATTTTGAGTTCTTGTAGCATCCTACGAAGGCCAATATAGTGACTGATGCCTTTAGTCACAAGGCGACTAGTGCTCCTATCCGAGAGCTATGTGTGAGGATAACTATCACTTCAACACTGTTGGATTTGGTCAAAGGGGCGCAATTTGAGGGATTAAATGAAGATAATCGAAAGAAGGAGAAGATCAGGGGCCAGATTTCTACATTCGTCACTGATAGTCAGGGTTTGTTGACTTATTGTAGCAGTGTGTGTGTTCCCCTTTCTATTGGGGTTCAACATACCTTGTTGGAGGAAGCGCACAAGTCAAAGTTTTCAAACCATCTGGGTGCTATAAAGATGTACATAGATCTGAGACTTAGTTACCGGTGACCCTATATGAAGAGGGAGATAGATTGGTATGTGTAGCAGTGCTTAACTTTACAGAAAGTCAAGGTCGTAGATTAGAGACCCCATGGAAAGTTGTACTCATTGGACATCCCCATGTGGAAATCGGAGCAAATCACTATGGATGTCATCACGAAGTTGTCTAGGATGATATGTGCTATTGATTTGATCTAGTTCATTTTCGACACGTTAACCAAGAGTGCCTACTTTATCCCGATTTAGGACAGTTCATGTGTCGAGAAGTTAGCTGAGATCTACAATAAGGAGGCGGTTGCACGTTATGGGGCTCCAATTTCTATTGTTTTATATCGTGATGTCAGTTTATCTTCCAGGTTCTGTAGGAAGTTCCATGAGGAGTTACATACTTGATTGCTTTTTAGTATTTCTTACCACCCACAGACTGATGGTTAGCGAGAGTAGACCATTCAGACTCTCAAGGACATGCTTAGGGCGTGTTTTAGATTTTGGTGAAAGCTGGGATACCTACCTTCCTTTAGTTGAATTCTCTTAAAAGAACAACTATCACGCCAACATTGGTATGCCTCCCTTTAGGTTTCTCTATACGAGGAAATGTCAGACCCCAATTTGTTAGGGTGAGATTGGGATGTGGGTGATGGGAAGCACTGATGTAGTGCTCAAGACTATGGAGTTGATCCAGTAGATATGTAATAGGTTGCAGACCGCGCAGAGTAGAAAAAAAAGTTACACTGATCAGCATTGTTTTGATATCGAGTTTCAGGTAGAGGATTTTATGCTTCTAAAGGTGTCGCCTTGGAAATTTTTCATTCGGTTCTAGAAGCAGGGCAAGTTGGGTCTGAGATTCATTGGTCCTTTCAGGTTTGTTGCTCGGGTGGGAAAGGTTGCTTATCGATTGGATCTCCTTGTGGAGCTTAGTCAAATCCACAACACCTTTCATGTTTCCTAGTTGCGAAAGTGTTTAGCTGATGATTCCGCACTGATACCCTTGGATGACATTCTGGTTGACGAGCGACTGAATTACATAGAGAGAACGATTGCAATTTTTGATAGAAAGATGAAGACCTTTCACAACAAGGTGGTGAGTTTGGTTAAGGTGCAGTGGCAACACCGGAAGTGTTCTGAGTGGACCTAGGAACCCAAGGAGGTGATGAGAGAGCACTACCTCGAGTTCTTTGTAGCAGCAGGTTTCAAGGACGAAATCTGATGGTAACATCCAAATTCTAAGGTATTATTCTTTGGAGCTCTTTTATTCTTAAGTTTAAGGATTGGGGAATTTTGCCCAGGCCACGACGTGATGCGTGCCTCATCACCGCGACACGGTGAGTTATGGAACTATGGCATGGTGCCGTTATGGGCTCAAAATAGTAAGCCTCGGACCTTAAGCCCTATTTAAGGAACGTTGGAGCTAGGGTTTCCTCCCAACCCTAACTTCCATCTCTCCAAAGCATTTCCTCCAAACCCTAGCCTCCTCTTCTTGTGTTCTAAGCCTTTGTGTGCATTGTGGCATTTGGAAGGAAGAAGCATTTCCCCCTTTTGATTTTAAGAGTTTCTTATGAAAGATCTAGCACATTGGTTACCTTCTAGACCTTTGTAAGTGCTCAGGTACTCAACTTTATATTTTTAAGTTCATAGATCTAGGATTTTGTGGAACTTTGTGTCTCTTTTATGGATTTGGTTGGAGTTTATGGAAGAACTCCATGTAAATCTTGCCACTTTATGAATTTTGAATCTCCTTTGAGTGTTTTATCTTTTAGATATGGAATTAGGGAGTGATTTCGGACCATGAAAAGAATAAAGGTCTTATTTTTCTCTATTTTGACCTAGAATGGTGTAAGACGTGCATGGGGCTTGCATGTCCGTAAAGTTGTGATTTTTATGACTCTCTTGGACGCTAGGAAGCCTTCTGGAAAGTTTGGGTGGCTAGCTTAATGGATTAAGGGATTAATCCGTTAAAATGATTTGGGAAAATTTTCGTGGTACAGATTTGAGCCAGCCGCTACACGGTGGCGAGTTTCATTCTGTGACTATTTTTTCGTGTAGCTGTCGTGGCACGGTCATTAGTTGGCCAGGGTGTGGTCGCGTGGTCGCTGACTATTGAATTTTTGACAAGTTTGACTTTTAGTTTAGGCGGTTCGTATAATAGATTTTGTGAGATTTTGAGTAGGAGATTACAGCTCTTTGATCAGACGAGTCTTCTCACTATATTGTGTAGGATGCTAGTTTGTCTTTATGACGCTTGCATGAAAGACCAGGATCTAGCCCATGACACTTGTATGAAAAACCGAGATCTGGTCCTGACACTTGTATATAAGACTAGGATTTGTCCCTTGACATTATAAAGAAAGACCATGATTCAGCTAATGACAGGAAGTGATTGTAAGACTATGATTTGACCCATAGCATTCACTTAGGGTTGAAATAGACTCGTAATTTTTATGTGTGGTATGTGGTATTTTTGAGGAACTCATTAAGCTTTGTCCTTACAATTTTAATTTTATTATTTCAGGTACTAATGGTTCCAAAGGGTTGGCCCGATTTGATCGCATTGCCTCCCTAGAGTTTTCCGCACTATTTATTTTATGACTTTACTCTAATGTTTTGAGAATAATTTATACTTTGATTATCTTTTGAACAAACGAATGAATGGTTTTGGTTGTGTGAAAAACGAAAATTTTACTTTATTTTTAAGACATTACAACTTGATCACAACACAAGGTATACTAGATCTAAACCAGAACACTAGATTTAAGGGTGGGCGTTTGCGGTTCGACGAAGGATAGAGGGAGGAAAACCTGCCTTATTCTCTTCTTCATCTCTTTCACATAAAGTGAATCAAAATGACTTTAATGTATGTATGTATGTTTTTTTTAATTCTTTTGTGTGTATGGGTTTTTTGTTTGACTTGTAGGTGAATACATGACACAGAGGAAGAGACGAGGATGACAGAGAGATAGAGAGAGAGTGAGAGAGAGAGAGAGAGAGAGAGAGAGAGAGAGAGAGAGGAGAGAGAGAGTGAGAGGAGAGAGAGAGAGAGAGTAGAGTATTTTCTATATTTAAGATATAATAAAAACACAGTTTAAATAAAGCAAAAAGAACTGAGAAAGATCTAGACAGAATTTATAATTAATCTTTTATATTTAATAAATATAATAACTTTCAAAATGAAAGAAAAATAGACATTAAATTTGTCAATGGTACAAGGGTAATTTCATTTTACAAAAGGAAAAATAAGCTGAGAAAGATGCTCAAAAAGATCATTTATATAATTTTTTCAAGGTTTGGACCAAATCCAAAAAAAAAGTATTGAAATTATTTTTGCAAATTTGTATTTAATTTATTTTGGTGCTATATATATATATAATATATATATATATATATATATATAGAGAGAGAGAGAGAGAGAGAGAGAGAGAGAGAGAGAGAGAGAGAGAGAACCTAATAGAAGAAACCATTTATCCGATGAAGTCAACTTAGGCTCAAAATGTAGTCTGTAGAACGCGAAGTTGCTGCACTTGAATTAGTAAAAACACGCCATTGTTTGTGAAGAGATGAAACACAAATAAATTGGGGTTGACAAATATAGTGAACAATCAATTTCCTATTTAACCTGGTGAATGAATTTATGAATAATTCACGGAATTGAATAGTATCAAAGAACAAGGAGTAGAGATATATAGTGTAAAAGAAATAGATTTTAGTTCATAACTAGTAGTGAGAAAATACAGAGTTTATATAGGCTCTGTTATAATGGGGGAGGAACCTGATACTTGCTAACATCCTTTTTCAAGGGAGTGGCTATCCCACTCACAAGTCACAACGGCTCAATAATTTATTTACAATGGGTGAGCATAGAATCATACTACTTTTATTAGCAAAATGACTTAAAAATGTAACAAAGTTTCAAAAATATATAGAAAACACCATTGTCTTTTTTTTAGTATGCAAAATACCATTGAACCGGCTATTGTAACTAACCATCAGGTTATCCGGCTTCCAAAATGTTTAAAAAAATATCATTGTTGTTTTTTTATTACAAAAAAAAACCATATAAAGTTAGTATTTGTATACAAAATACACATGTGTTCAAATAAAACCTTGTGGTAACTAGGTATTTAAGGTTAATGGAAAAATGACTTAAAAACGTAAATAAATTTCCAAAATATTCAAAAAATACCGCATTTTTTGTTAACTGCGTTGTTATAGGATTATGTAGAACACAGTCACCGGAGATCATGCACCGTCATATCAGTTCATAACAATTGTGCAATCTCTTTCATTCCCTTACTCGATTGTTCTTGTGGTAACATGAGAAGTAAGTGGGTAATAATACCTTAGTTAAGCTTTCTTGCTTCCCGATCACATTATATGCCTTAAACCTAAAACATATATTCGTTATATAGATACACATATTATAAATTAAGGTTAGCCATTCATTAGTGTTGCGGCATAGACACAAAGGAGAAACGAGTGCGATGTTATGTCAGGAGAATTCCTAAATATGGATGTAGAGAGTAGGAGTTGCGTTTAATTCTCCTAGACCAGTGAGAGATGAATGGCCAGAAACACTCAGTATCATGTGGTTGATTTGATGACGATTCGTAGTCAAAGTAGAGAAAGAAGCATATGTGTTGGAGCGCTTGAACGCTTGCATCATAATTGATGGACTCTTAGTTATGTGTTTTTATATGATTGTATTTAGATACAAACTGATCGAGTGAGGGAATGAAAGAGAGCACACAACAGATGTGAACCGGTACGATGGTGAATAATCTTCTATGATTGTGTTCTATATAATACGGAAACAACAAAGTTAACAAAAGGTGTTCTGAAAAAACAATGGTATTTTTTTTGAACATTTTGGAAATTTCAATGGTATTTTGTACTAAAATGTGTACTTCGCTGGTATTCTATATACAAATGGTATACTTCAAGGGTAATTTTTGTACTGAAAAAACAATGATATTTTTTGAACATTTTGGAAAGTTCGTTACTTTTTTTTAAGTCATTTTTTTGTTTACCTGAGGTAATCGGTTAGCCCAAGGTTTTGTTTGAACACATATGTACTTGTTGGTATTATGTGTACAAAAAATATACTTTAATGGTATTCTATGTACTAAAAAAAGACAATGGTTTTTTATACATTTTTTGAACTTCGTTGCCTTTTTAAGTCAATTTCCCATCTTTATTCTTCCGGAAAACATGCAAAACCTTTTCATGGCACTTAATTAGCTTCCATCTCTATTTTTTAATGGCTCTGTGCAACCAACATATAATGTGGGACGTTGTTGAATACAATATATACATATTAGCTTACAAGGTTATAATTTATGTGCAATATGGTTTACAATAATAAATTTTAAATAATAAAAAAGCAGTTTATTTAACAATAAATTGCAAACAAATTTTTATAATATGTATATTAGTAAGATTATAATGTTTATGTATAAATAATATTCTAAATGCATAGAAATTTTAAATAATATTCAATCTGGTACGAAAGTGATAATAATTATAAAATTTAGGGTATACAAAATGTATGGGATAATGACTTAAAAGAGAGTAATATATTTTTCGATTTGTACACATTTGGTTACTGAGTTTTTTCGTCTATATTTACCCTTTAACTTGTTAAACTGTACACATTCAATCCTTGTAACACCCATAAAAATCATGCCAAATTTAAACTTTTAAAAACATTTCAAATCTATTAACCATTAGAAAACTTGTTTTCAAAATGTATCATATCAGAGTATCCCAGAAACAAAGTCATAGAAAGTGAGGAGTTGTACGATCACGCCTTTGCCTTGCCACGATCCCCTGATGCACCTAAAACAATAAACTGAAACTGTAAGCCCGAAAGCTTAGTGAGTTCCCCCAAAATACCCATACCCACAACAATACACATATAATCATAACAAACAACATACTATGGGTCCAATCATCCATCGGGATGGAATACCCCAGGCCTTCAACCATCGGGTTGGAATGCCAACATACCATAACACATATACAAATAATCAACATGTACTGGGTCCACAGCTTTACAGACTGGATTACCCCTGGGCCCACCGTGTGAGTCTGGATTGCCTTCCGGGCCCACAGCTCACATCTGGATTGCCATTGAGCCCACAGTATGAGTCTCCCTCAGCTCGTATCTAGAATGCTCCCGAGCCCACATTACGAGTCTGGCATGCCCCACCTGGCCCTCAGCTCGTATTTGGAATGCTCTCGGGTTTGTTGGTTATCGCACGGAGCAGTATCACCTCAACCCATCCCACATAATATGTCGACATATAACACAACTAATGCACATACAGATAATCACATCATACTACAGGTAGTCCTACAGATCTATCTAACTAGCATAACAACTAGCATGCAGACAGTCAGACCAACTATAGGTCACTAAGCATAACCACATCCGATCTACCAGGATACCGATCTAACAGATCATACTAGCATATAACCATTCTATCTACCAGGATACCGAGCTAACATATCACAACATTAATGATCCCAATAACAAAACAAAGGGCCGGCCTTGGTGCCTTAGACCCTTGAGTACAGTGAGGATAACTCACCTGGAACTGCTGAAGTCCCGCAGATAAAACTCCAGCTGCTGGTTGATAGATTCCCGAACTGCCAACATCAAACAATACCCAATTAATAATTGGGTTCCAAGCCCAAGGTCCAACTCACACTCCAAAGGCCCAAAAGTCCAACTCCCACAATTAGGGTTTTATGCCATTAGAGTTTTAATTATTATTTTAGGTTTAATAATTAATTCTTAATAATTATTTTAGGTTTAATAATTAATTCTTGTTGTTAAATTATTATTTTAGGTTTAATAATTAATTCCCGTGCGTGTCCCAAACAATTCCCACAATTAGGGTTTTATGCCATTAGGGTTTTCCAAACCTTAATTAGGGTTTCTTACCCAATACTAGCCCATTATCCAATTGGTTGGGCTTTTAAGTCACTTTGGGCCTCATTTGGCCCATTAGGGTTTTATTAGGTCAGTAGGGTTTCTTGGGCCCATTAGGGCTTCATTGGGCCCACTTTGACCAAGCATCCCCCAAACGAGTCAAACACAACAAAGCAAACACACCGCCACCCGACACGGTGGCCGGTGGCGGCAGCCACCACCTCACGGTGGTGGTTTCAAGTTTTCTATTGATTACCGACACTATTACACTTTTACAAAAATACACAAACACACACACACTCACGTAAATAACACACACACACACACACCATCGTACTGAGGCGGCAGGTGGTGGTCGGAGGTGGCAATGGGGTTTTTTTCTTCGGATCTCCGGCCAATGGACACTTCGGCAGCCTAATACCATCACAACACCCGAACACGAGCAACACAACCCACACATCCATCCTATCTTCTCAGGAAAATAAATCCAACAACCCCTGCGGTGGGTGGCGACGACAGCAGCCCAAGAAAACCACAGCAGCAACGGCCATTGGCGGCAGATGGCATCGGGACGCAGCAGCACTAGCAGCAATCGTGGCGACTAGAGGCGATAACAGCAGCGGAAAAATGAAAGAAGAGAGGAGAGAGATGGTGGCATCGACTACGAGTTGGAAAAGAAATGGGAACGTTGGTTTCGCTGTCCGTGGTTTCACCGATCAATAGAGCAGCAGCGCCATCGGCGGTCTCGGTCTTCGACTGTGGTTGTCGCACCTCCACCGGAAACGACCACAACAGCTTCGTTCTCGGTTCGCGCATCGGCCTTCGTTATCTCCGGTCATGGCAGATGTCGTTGGGGGTCTTAGTTGGTCGGAGCATCAAGCTAGTCGGGGGGGGGGGGGGGGGGGGGATGGTGGCGGCCGGTTGAAGATGAGAGGGAGGTATAAGGGTAGCGGCTGCTATAGAGCTTAGGGTTAGGGTTTAGAAGGTGACGGATGAAGAGGTTAAATACCCGATCCCTTGTACAAGTTTCCATAATAACGCATTTGGTCCCTTCTTGTAATATTCTTTTCAAAACGAATCCCAAATTTACCAATTAGACCTCGCTGTAACACCCAGAATCAGAAAGACCAAGAAAGGAAAGGAAACCCTAAGTCAAAGGGGTTAACTCGTCGAGTCTAGGGAAGAACTCGACGAGTCGGAGCGGGTTCCATGTCAAAGATTAAGTGACCGACTCGGCGAGTGGACTCAGCGAGTCTGGTCTGGGTTTGGAAACCCTAATTCCGAGACTTGGTACCCTATTTAAGCACCTTATTCTCTTCCCTAGGGCTCATTTGCGGCCCCTATTGTCCAAAACTCGAAACCCTAGCCACCCAACTCCATTGTTGAGCTAGTTCTTGCCTTGAGAGTGCATTGAAGTTTTGAGAAGGAAGAAGGACCTTTGTGGTGCAAGAAGAAGCTATAGATCCAGAGTTGGGGTAGCATTTCAGACCATTTAGAGGTAAAAAGCTTATACCTTGACTGTTAATC